TCTCCGAAAGTGAGAATGCTATACTAAAATAATTGATACTAGAAAACAAATGAAAGAAATGTGTATAAATAGCGTACAAAGATGTTGATTATAAAAGACAGTACTTTTTATCCCTTCTCGTTGTCTTCTTCATCTTGCTTTTATACTGTTTTGGGCATTAATAATAATCATTGTTTAAGATAACTAATACGTATGATTCTCTTTGATCCATCTTTCCGATATGGGAAGCTTGTTTTCCACTTTGCGAGATGCTCAACTCGTCTTTTGGTATTAGTTAATTCCTCTTAAATCTCCGATTGTTAGTTTAAATTCGCTCGTACGTAACTTTAAGACATGGGCATTTAACGACATTTATCACTCTTCTAGAAATTGTTCATTATTTCCTCGAATGATCCTTACTCATCATGGACCTTCTTATATTTTCTTTAGGCTTTTATGAACCGAATCTCGCAGACGGGATCGATCCAACATTAACAATGTATTGGTCATGTGGTTTGCCGCAGCAGCTCTTACTGATTTTTTTTTTCTTTTTTTGTTGCTAAGCCTCTTACTGAATGTTAGAAATACCGTTTGATGTAAGATTATAAAATAGAGTAAAATTTTTTCTCCCTTTGTAGTGTGTATACAAGGCATTGAAGTGTGGCTTCCTTCTTGTTCTTCTTCTCCAATTCATCTTCACTTTCAACTGTATTTCGATATGACTCTTTGACATTTAATGGAACCTTCACCGCCTCCATTTAAGTGACACCCGAAAACTGGTACAGTGTAATGCAATCCCTCATTTAATGACATTACTATGAAAAACGTTTTATTGTTGCACCTGTCTATCTACTTCTGTATATCTATGCTTGTAATTTCAGATTTAGTTTTCTTATCATCTCTTGTCTGATTCTAGCTGTTGTTTTCACTAGATCGCCTCGTCTAGTGTCCTTGTGTTTTATATTAATGTATAACAACAATATTATGTTTTATTTAGCAAAAAAACTAAAATATAAATAAACAATATTATGTTTTTCATGTACTAATATTTCATATAGATAATTTATATGGCGCTGCAAAAGACATTTGATATATTGGTACGTAAGGTAATTAAGTGTTACTAAGAAATTTACGCAACTCTAATTTTTTTATATATTTATTTCAACTCTTTATCAA